CCCCTGATTTTAGTCTCTTAGGTGCATTGCTTTTCAGCTTTGTTGTGAGCCCTTTTTGATCTTTCTCTATTGGTCGCATCGAAGCACAACTCCTGCCTTTGAACATGCCGATGTTCTCTGGGGTCTGCCTCCTTGGTGCGATGTGTCCTTCGAGACTCTTCCCCTCTTGGCTCCCCTCGCCTAACCTCCCTTGAAGGCCGGTGAGAGTGTCTTTCGCTTCTAGCGTGCTGGGGGGCTACAGGGATTGTTTTCTGCCCTCCCTTCTGGGCATTGGCCGCTAGAATCGGCGTGTCCTGCAGCGAGAATGGTGGCTGCATGACGTTATTTTCCATCATGAAATTGACCATTGTTTGTAGGTCCGCCAATTTGTTTGCCATGGTCTTCACTTCGTTGTCCTTCCACAGGCATCTTTCTTTCCATACTTGGAGGTTATCTTCGTTGTAGTAACCACTTTGGTTCGTTTTCTTTGGTACGTTGCCCTCCTGGCCGACGTCCTTTCCTCCGTGATTCTGGTCTCTATTGCAGTTGTCCTCTTCAACGTCAAGGTCTACCGGTCCCCCACTCCCAATAGGAAAGTTATCCCCAATCTTCTCTTTCTGTCCATCGTTGTTGGCCATCTATTCTCCTTAAGTTCCCACAGACGGCGCCAAATTATGTGAATAAATTTCTGACCACACTGCCAACACAATACTCAGCTGGAGAACACCGGCGGAATAGGATAAGCCCGAACGACCTGCAACAGAAAGAAGAGATTCCAGTAGTGGTTCGTCCACCCGGGGGCACTTTGATGATTTAGTCAGTAATCAAATATCTCTCAAAGATAATCAATAGAGCTTAACTCACTGTTCTGAATATAAATTGCGTACCTTAAACCCATGGGGGTGCCTCTTTTTTATAGTTAACTCAATCCTAGTCCCAATAGAAGCCTTGCTTCAATGGACTTTAGCTCAGTGCTTATCCTGGACTCTTCAATAGATAAAGATAAACTCCCTAAGAGCTTTATCCTTATCCAGGTTGAGTCCCTTTCTCATTCTAGGACTCTTGTCTCTTATCCGCTTATCCCGGATTCCGATATCTTCGGAGACAACCTCGGCCTAGCCGAGATCACCTCGGCGTCATGACCAGGACACATAGCACCTCGGCTGACACGTCGGCGTCACCTTGGCCACGCGTTGGTACTCAGAAAATATATCCCCACAGTAGGTACATAAAAATATTTTCTATTTATTTTCAATACAAACCGTGGGTACATCAACTTATGTAGTAGACTAAATTTGACTTTCAAGCAAGAATAACATGGCGGCATGTACAATCAAGAATGTGTTTGGCACATCAAATATATGAATTGAAAGAAATTGAAACACACTGACAATAACACAGCAACAAAAATAAATATTAATTATGATTAAACTGGGTACATCTATCATGTAAATCTATTTGGCCACTTTCATGGGAAAATATAAAAATCTGTTTTAAGCTTGTTATCAAAATTGTAAAATTAAATAAATAAATTCACGAATAAATCAAAATTATATACGAAGAGCGCATTCTAAGAATTACAACTAAATTACAACAGAAATACCCAATAGATTAAAATAATAAAGAAAGCAAACCGAAGCCTGCACGGTAATAGTTTCCTTAAAACAGATTTTTGCCGCCTCACGGGTCAAATGCTTGAGGAATTCCAGCACCTGTCTCCTAGGATACGACGGTCAAAAACTAGCTACGGCAGAAGCACTCTCTGTCTAGCTTAGCGAACAAAAACTGTGGCAGCACTCTTTTACTGTAGTAACTTTCTGACAAATTGACTTGTAAAATGAAAACAAAAATTTCTGTGTTGAGACTAGCCGGAGGGTCTCATTTTATACATGTATAGGGGGGAGAGGAAGAGCCTCCAGCCTTTATGGTTGGTCACTAATGCACCATTGACCTCTGCAATATTGCAAGTTACAAACGTATTATACACACTAATCCCACTACCTCTTTCATAAAACTATCTTCATGAGGCAATTTTTCATTCGATTCTCAATAATTTTTTGCTATTCTTTTTGTGGTGTAAAGATCTCATTGCAAACCCAACACAGTAGATGGTTGGGGCCCACTTTAATATTTAATTAAAGTCACCAAAAACTTTTTTTTTTCCAACAATTACCACATTGGTATAATAAATATATGTTCTTCCTTTCACATATTATATTTAGGGTTGCAAATGAACAGAATTGTTTGTGAACAAGTTCAAGCTCACCTTGATAAGAGCTCGTTCGAACTCGGTTCATTAATTTAATTTAATTTAATTTTTTATTTTGTTTTTGCATTTGAGCTCAAACTCGAACTCGTTAAATTTTTAATAAATAAGTCCGAACATATTAAAACTCGGCTCGTTTAACATTTATTATTTATATATAAAATAATGTAAAAATATGTATAAAAAATAAGATAAATATGTTAGTTATATATTTAAAAAATATAAATATAAATAATAGTTAACTATAGATAGTACTTTATATAATTGTAGTGGTAGATATTATTATTTTGGTAAAATGTTGACTTTTTTAATATGTTTATATATATATTGTATATATAATTACATAATCAAAGTTTTAATTATAACTTTAGTCTCATACGCAAATATAAATTTATAAATTTTTTGATTTGTTAATGTTCGTGAACAAACTCGAGCTCGAGTCAAACCTAATTTAACTTGACTTGAACTCGGTTCATTAAATTTTTATTTAACTCGAACTCAAACTTGTTAAAATTTTAATAAACAAATCAAAAGATACTAAAATTCGATTCGATTCAGCTCGACTAATTTGCCACCCTAATTTTATCCAGGCGTTATTTGATGCATAATTTTTGCTATAAAAATTTGATTATGGTACTATGATCTTATATGAGCACTGCCACACTGGGGTGAGCTATTGGGCTGATCCAAAATCATAGGAAATGGTCAGCCAGCGAGAATGTTTCTTCAAAGCAAACTGTATCTCAATCTCAGAGAGGCATTCTGAGACTCCTGCATAAGGATTCAATTGACAAACTTTGAAGTCTATATATCAAAGGGGGAATTACACTAAACCTCCCGAGAGCTTGTGTTATTTTGATTCTTAATTTTTTAATTGTAACATATTTGATCTTGAATTTTGATTTTTGTTTCAAATAGGAATTATTGAATATACTATTACTCAATTTCAAGGACAAAATCGTCAATTTAATAAAATATAAACTAATTTGACAAAAATAAATGTCAAAAAATATTTTTAAAATTTTTAAAATTATTTTTACCTACCAATGATAAAATTATGTAAAATTGATAAATCTTTTACACATCTATTTATTTATTTTTCTACCAAATTAATTTGTATTATATGTTTGGATGATGATCATGGTGTGTTTGGTAACATTTACGTTTTCAGTTTATATTTACAAAAATTTTATAAACTGATTTTTGTTTATTTTTAGAAAAGCATAAACTATAAACGCGTTTGGTAATTGATAAAATAGTTAAAAAAATTTAAAAATATAAAAAAGAATGAGAAATGGCAAGTGGTGGCAAAAGACGGTGGTGGAAAGTGGTGATGGTGGCTGGTGGGTGGCTGGTGGTGGTGGGTGGATGGGTGACGGTGGCGGGTGGTAGCGAGTGGGTGTTGGTGGTGGTGGCGGCGGGCGGTGGGTGGTGGTGGCAAATGGGTGGCGGATGACGGGTGGTGGTGGCTAGGTAGTGGTGGTGGTGGGTAGGTGAGTGGGTGACGGTGGCGGGTGGTAGGTGGTAGCGAGTGGGTGGTGGTGGTGGTGGTGGTGACGGGTGGTGGGGGGTGGGGGTGGCAGGTGGTTGGATGGCGGAGGGGGGGGGGGGTTGCGGGTGGTGGTGATGGTGGGTGGGTGGGTGGGTGACGGTGGCGGGTGGTGGTGAGTGATTTGCAGGTAGGTGGGGGTGGTAGTGGTGGTGGGTGGATGGGTGGGTGACGGTATGGGTGGTAATGGTAGCGAGTGAGTGGTGGTGGGTGACGGGTGATGGTGGTGGTGGTGGTTAGGTGTGTGGTGGCGGGTGGGTGGTAGGTGGTGGCAAGTGGGTGGTGGTGGCTAGTGGTGGCAGGTGGGTGGTGGATGGTGGTGGCAGGTGGTGGTGGGGGGTGGATGGTGGTGGCGGGTGGTGGCTAGTGGTGGCAGGTGGGTAGTGAGTGGTGGTGGCAGGTGGTAGTGAGGGATGCGTGGTGGCGAGGGATGGGTAGTAGTGGCAGAAGACGGTGGTGGAAAATGGTGGCGGGTGGTAGCTAGTGTTGGGTGGGGAAAAAAAAAAAACTCAAAACTCAACTCAAAACTCAAAACGGAAACAGATTTTTTGAATTTACATTTTTTGGCCAAATTTATAACCTGAGACCACTAATTTATAAATAAAAAATTTTACCAAACAAGTTTTTATTTGAGTTTTTAAAATTTTTGTAAATATAAACAGAAAACTGAAAACGGAAGTGTTACCAAACGACACCTAATGAGTGGTTGTTTTCATCTTCATTAAATTAGTTTCTATTTTTTCAAAAATTAAATATGACAACAACTTTGATATCATTATTAAACCAATCCATTAAATCAAAAAATTTAAAACTAAAAACATTTCATATATTAAATAAATCGATTACACATTAAAAGCCTAACAACCACCCATTATATGATCATCATCCGAACAAATAATAAAAATTAATTTAGTAAAAAAAAAATAAATGTGTAAAAAATTATCAATTTTACATAATTTTATCTTTTGTACGTAGAAATAATTTTTAAAAATTTAAAAATATTTTTTTAACATTCTTTTTTGTTAAATTAGTTTATATTTTATCAAATTAATGAATTTGCCCTTGAAATTGAGCAATGGTATTTTCAATTATCCTTATTTGAAAGGAGATTCAAAATTCAAAATTAAATGTGTCACAATTAAAAAGTCAAAAATCAAAGTGACACAAGTCCTAAACTATAACGACCGTTAATGTAATTCCCTTATATCAAAACAAGAAAGCAAATAAATACATCCGAATGAGAGAAAGCATTTTTGAGAAAATCTTCAACATAACGTATGTTAGAACAGTCACATAACTCACATATCCGGAAAATAAAACTCTAGAAGGGTTCCAATCACCACATGCACATAACGCACGCGGATGAATATATAGTGCCATTTAAAAGTACAATCTAAATGGCCAGGCAAAATTTTTCACATGCTTTTCCGTAGATTTTCAAAACCAGAAATCTACTTTTGAACGAGAGAAGCCAAGTTTTGCCTAATGTCTTCTTTAGCTTGTCGATCAAATGGATCATCACCGATATACAGATCTAAAATTGACCGGCACAGAAGTTTGCTCTGGATGCTTCCTACCACATTTCCATCAACTACACAATTAAATAAAAATAATATTAATCGAGGTGCAAGATATTCCTGTACATAAAACGATCAGTATTTAGGATGATTTTTCATTGTTTTTTCAGTCAAGGAAAAATAATTAATTGAAATGATCAGGTAATGCCAAAATCTGTTTCACTGAGGTCCATTATATTACGCTTATAACAGTGTCATACAATTGACTCTTTCAGTATTCACTCGAATTGAAGGTACAAAGCTTCATCCACGAAGCCTTAGTGTGCAGTGGAGTCCCACAGTAGAATTTGATTTGGTGCACAATATTCAAAGCTGAGCTCCTTAAGGTCAGCTATGAAACTCCTCTGTTGCCACATCTGCTTAGGACCACATACATTCTAGCATTCATGTTTATAGGCTTGGTTAAAAGTTTCACAAACATGTCTGTGCTTTGTGTATTTTCCTGTGCATGCATATCATTCCAAAATTTCAATGACCTTAATGCTCTACTTTTCCTTTCATTGGCAACTTGAAGATGGTCATTTTACATGATGAGCTACAATCAAATGACATGAAAAGTAAAACGTTTCATTGCCTACAATTTCTACAAGCAACACAAGATAAATTTAAACAAGAAATGATTAGATATAGTTTCCACTAATTTTAGTTTCAGAGGAGTCATCAATTTGGAAGCAGTAATAAACAATTTTTGCTTGATGAAATCATTGAGTATGTCTATTGCATCTATAATATATTATTTAAAAACCAGAAAACATTTTGAACATAAATTTTCTTACTTGTCGTGCGAATCACATTGCCCTGTTCCCTTGAGAGATCTATGATCGATCCTCGAGGAATCTTGTATTCATCTTTAAACTGGGATGTGAACCTGTAGAAAATGACTGTAAGGTGAAACCAATAAATAAACATGCTACATAATGAATTTTTTTCCATTAAAACTGACTGATTTTTTTATTGTTCTCAGTCACATAAATCAACAAGATTCTATTAGAAGACCTTCCAACAGAAACTTTAAAACCAACATGATATAATTCAAAAATATAATTAAAAGGAAAAAAAAAACCTCGAGATATTAGTGACAAGGCAGAGAAGGATGAAATGCAAGCAAAAGCAAAAACAAGTTATATACAAAGAGATGAAGGAAGGGCAATATTTTGTGTGTTACAAACAACTGTCGAAGTGAATTGAAGCAATCTAAGGGTATATCACAATAAACATAAAGGACCAAGGAAAAATAAATAAATAAATAAAAACATAAAAAACATTCCAACATGCAGAACTTTACAAATTCAAAACTTCTTATATTTCAATAGTGCGATGTCCTTCAAAAGACCATATCAGCCATATGATAGTGTATGTTGGCAAAAGAATGATTTACCTTTGAAGCAATTCTTTGTTATCTGCCCCACCAAACTTTTGTAGTCGGGTTCCAACAGACTCTTCAAAAGCACTGCGTACAGAACGAATGCTTAATCTTCCATAAACAATTTGAAGTCTGACAGTCATGCAAATATCACTTTCCATCAGATCATCAAATAACTCCTTGTTCTTCTCCTTCAGTTCAGAAACAGAAATATTTCCATATTTCTCACCCAGAACTTTCTTTATATCACCATCATCAGCGTAAACACCTGTAGAATTACTTCCATCATAAAGGAAATTTCAAAGAGTGATGTCAATGTATGTTTTATTACTACAAGAACAGCAATTCAGAAAACAAAACAGCACATACACGTACTACTAGAATTAACATGAAGGATACAAAATATTGAAGTACGATCATTGTGCACAATCTAAGTTATTTACAATAAAATATGGCAAACAATGTGTAACATAGAAGATGAGTGTCTTATGATGAGACTTAAAATTGTGTAGGATGCGTTTTGGGCATTGTGAAGCCCACAAATAGATTGATTGAACCAACAAAAATGTGATCACTAAGGTTTAGAAAAACATAAATCCAATGCAATGTGTACAACAAAGAAAATTTTCCCATAATTATGTCAATGGATGTCATTTAAAAAAATAAAAAAAACAAGTTAATTGATATTTCGGCGGGTTTCACATCTTCATAGCATCAATCAATCACCAATAATACAGTGTCTGATTTTGTTCACATACTTCGCCAAGGTGTGTGAAAAAAACACACTTGATGATTAACTCGATGATTGGTTAGTGTGATGAATCCTATTTAAAGTGTAATGGACCCATTTAGCAACAAGCTACCATCAATTGATACTGTTCCAACAATATTTGAACTTAAAATTTCCCCTTCAATTAAAGAAATTCATGAAACTATAGAGGCAAGTAAAAACCAGACTGAATTTCATAGGTACATAAATGAATTACAGTAATAGGTGATACCTAGTTTTTCGAGGAATGTGTTAGAAATTGAAATTCGAGATCATAGTATAACTAAATATAGAAGCTAAAGAACGAAATGAGGTACCGAATGCGTAGACGTCGATTTTTTTCAAGCCCAGCACACTCTTTTTTCGCAACCCAATTCCGAGAAGCCGCCGAGAATCTCCGAGAACGGAAGGAAACGAGACGCCGGTCCTTGGATCAGTGATTGGAGATGGATCAGGTGCTAGAGAGAGAGAGCCCCAGGAGGGAGAGGAGTAATTGCAGAAATTTGAGACCAAGAAATTCAGAGCATTTTGGAGAAATGGGTTAGCGGGGTTTTGGGAGATGGCATAGGCGGCGCCAGCGGCGGCGACGGAGCACGCGACGGCGGAGGCGGAGAAGGAGCGAGAGTGAACATTGGGTCGGCCGTTGATGGGGGGCTTTGGGGACTGAGAAAACAAGAAAGGGTAGCGCAGAGATACCATTGTATTGTCTTCCTTGGTGAAGTCACAATTGCGGACTTGATTGCGAGAGTATAAAAAGATATGGGTAAGTTTTTTTGATTTTTTTTTTTGGATTTTTAAAATATTATTTTTGAGTTTAATTTTTTTTTTAATTTACTCCAAATAATTTTAGAAAAATTACTCATAAATCTCATTTTGGTAAATATTTCTCTATTAGCTCTGAGTGTTTTTCTTAAACCATTTAGTCCTTTCTATTTTTGGTATGATATATATTTTTGATATATTATATATGAAATTTACATTTTTGCCCATATTGTGTTCTAAAAGCGGTTTCACCATTACCAATTTAGCGTTTGGTTTATGATGTTTTATTTTGGGACATCACAAAACAATAGTCCCAGTTTGGTGTTTGGTTTGCATGAAAGCTTTCAGGAATCATGTTTTATGATGTACACTCATGTAAGATTCTTAAAAAGAGTTCATCAGTTTTGATTGTAGCTTCACTTTCCTACCTCGTTTGTTCTGATACTCATAAACCCTCTCATTTTCCCCTGTTCTTCCTCAACCTCTTTTTCTCTCTCTACAAACCTCGTTGTTTCTCTTTTTCTCTCTCTTTTCCTCTATACAAACTCCATTATGCTTCTCCAAACCGCTTCGGCTTTCTCTCTCTTGAACCCTCATGGGAACAATCTGAGTCCATTTGGGTCCTCTATTTTGGGGGTTTCTTCGAAAGCCAAGATCGGATATGGGTTTGTGGTTTATGCTTCCAAGGGCTCGGACAATCGGCCTCTTACGGGTGTAGTGTTCGAGCCATTTGAAGAGGGGAAGAAAGATCTCTCACTTGTCCATACTCTCCCTCAGTCTTCCATTGCTCGCTAGAAATACTCCGATGGATGCGAATTTGCTAGTGACATCATCAATATCAACATCATCAACATTTGGCCTTCATCAGGGACATCAATAATATCATCAACATCATCAACATTTGGCCTTCATCAGCGACATCAATAACATCATCAACATTAGCAACATCAACGACATCATCAACATCATCAACGTCAGCAACTCCGGGGATGATTGAATCACCGACGTAATTTGCAGTGTTTGTGTACGACGGCGATGTTAATGGGGGTAATGAAGCAGATAAAGCAACGTTTTGGTCCGTCCCAGTCAACGATGCCACTACTTGCTGTAAGCATGTTGATTTCCTCCCGATTTAGGGTTCCTTCTGAAACGCCAATGTGAAATTCGTGCTGTTTATATTCGAAGATTCAAAACCCACATTTAGGGTTTCAATAAGAACGCATAGCAATGTTCAAATGTGGAAATGATCATTACCATTGTTTCCTTATACAGTCTGAAAGCTTCAATCAAAGACGAGGAAAAACTAAAAAGCCCTATAGTGCGCTCCATGGCCACAAAAGTAAATTCAACAATACACAATACTAACATTGCCCTCAAATTAAAACATAAAAACACGGAAGGTGAAGGCCAAATGTGAGATTACAATAATCTCAGGACTTTTTGGTTTAAATGAAAAGATGCAGGACTAAATAGTCCATAAGTTATTAATTTGAGATTTACTGGAGTTTCACCCAATAATTTTTTGTCCAATTTTAAATGAAAAATACATTGGTAGTCATGTGATATAAAAATAGATAACTTGCCTTTTGCATCCTTTAGGTTTCACAAATTTGTTACATTGGCTTTAAAAGTATTTTTCCATCCTACCTTGATCATTTATATTTGTATTTTTTTTAATTTACTCTCAAAACAAAATGTCTTCTAATTTTTAATGATAAAATGCCGCTTTGGTAACTATGTTGCATAAAAATAAATTATTTTAAAATTTGGTTGAGTTTTGAAAACTGGTTTTTTTATTTTAATTTTTTGTAATTAGAAAAAAAGTTTGACAAAAATAAATATTAAAAACTATGTTTTTAAAATTTTAAAAAATAATTATACCTTGAGAAAAGAAAATAATGTGAGAATAATTAACTTTTATTTTTCATTTTGCTACCAAACTATTATTTTTTTTTAAAAAAAAAAATCATAAAAACTCAGCCACATAAAAAGGTGTCTGAATACATACAAGTGACGGTCATGGTATAGGGTAAGACGATGAATGAAAGGGATAGAGGTAGAGAGGTGGTGAAGGTTGAGGTAAGGAGAAGACTGAAGGAGCCGTGGAAGTTTAGGAGTAAATTTGAACACTAAAAGCTAAAATGAGAAGAAAAAAAATTTAAAGGCCAAAGTAAGTAAATGTGAAAATTAAAAGGGCCAAAATGTAATATATCTATTTTGTTTAGTAGTGTCACATGGCTATCAACATGACATTTTATATTCAAAATTGAATGGAAGTTAGTTTTGAAAATAAATTGAAAAAAAGCTACAAATGTTTAAGGTCAAAATAAGAAAGAAAGAAAGAAAAAAAATAAATGAAAGTGAAAAAAATTATAAAATTTAAACGGGCAAAGTGTAATTTCTCCATAAATATATATTGTGGGGGTTGCGTCAAGTGACATGTACGTGGAACGTGGGCTTGATTTTGGGAGGTGGAGCTTGGTGGGTCCGATTAGGGTCCAGGTAGCTTAGCCCAAGCTGGCATTTAAGTTCCTTTTTAGATTGGGTTTATCAACTTGTTAATAGTTTTAATTTTTATTTGGATTAGTCTTTTTCATTTTCTATTAATCAAAACACAAAAAAAGCCTCGCAATCAACTATTGGCGGTGATACGACGGTTTGGGGTATATGTCACAGGCAGTGATGGAGTGTGGTGATATTTTGTTTTGTTTTGTTTTTTTTTTATTTTTTTATTTTTATGAACGAGTATTCAGATTAGATGAAACGTGGTGATGGTGATGGTGTTGGTATTGGTGCTGGCATTAATAGGTAGACTTTAGAAGTGTTAGTGAAGGCAAGATAAGTGAGAGAAAAAATAAAGGGATAAAAGAAATATATAATACGGATAGAGTGTGTTTATTTTTTTTTAGTTTGATACTAACTCAAAAATGATTTATTGTCATAAATCAAATTTTAGGGACCTAGTGTGTTTTTTGGTCTAACCCTACGGAGGTAATGTGTAGTTTACGCCATGTTGTTAATTTTGATGAAAAATGGTATTTTTGTAATTATTTAATTTGAGAGAATTCGTTATTATTGTTAAACAAGTTGAGAGAGAGAGAGAGAGAGTCAGTAAAATATATTCTATGAAACCAATGTACATGGTCTCATTTATATAGGAGAAAGAAGACAAAATAAGGAAGTCCTAAACTAAGGCTATAATTAAGCCTAGGATACAGCTACACATAGCTATATTTATATATATATATATATATATATATCTAAACATATCTATCTACGTACATATCTATCTATCTATATATATGTATTAACAACCCCCTCAAACTCAAAGAGGATAAACATCAACCAACTTGAGTTTGGAAACAAGTTCAATGAAGTGGCCATGAGGATAAGTTTTGGTGAAGATATCAGTAGGTTGATCAGCAGAAGAGATCGGATGGAGATGAACAGTACCATGAGTGACATGTTGACGAATAAAATGGTAGTCAATCTCAATATGTTTGGTACGATCATGAAAAATATCATTGTGAACAATTTGAATAGCACTCTGATTGTCATAATAGAGGTCAGTAGCACCAGAAGGGGTAACTTCCATGTCAGTAAGAAGCCAACGAAGCCAGAGAATCTCTTGAGTAGTATCAGCAAGAGCACGGTATTCGGCTTTTGTACTTGAACAAGCAGTAAGAGATTGTTTTTTGCTGCGCCAAGAAATAAGAGAATTACTTAAGAAGAAGCAGAAACCTGTGGTAGAGCAGCAGTTAGTAGGATCTCCAGCCCAATCAGCATCGGAGAATGCATGAAGTTAAATAGAGAAGCGGGTGGAATAATGAAGACCACGAAACAATGTGCATTTGAGATAGTGAATGATACGAACTAAAGCATCATAATGAGGTGTACGAGGAGCCGACATATACTGATTGATAATATGGACAGCATCGGTAATGTCAGGACGAGTAACAGTGAGATAGATAAGTTTCCAACCAGCTGACGATACAAAGTAGCATCAGAGAGTAGAGTGCCATCAAGAGGAGTAAGATGACTCTGAGTCTCTAGTGGAGTGGAGGCAGTCTTGCAATCTGTAAGACCAGCACGAGCGAGAAGATCGGAGGTATACTTAGCCTGAGAGAGAAACGAACCCGTGGAATCATGAGAGATTTCAAGACCCAAGAAATAGTTGAGAGGACTAATGTCTTTCATCTCGAAATGATGGCTAAGAAACTGTTTGAGGCAAAGAATACCATTCACATCATCATCGGTGATAATCATGTTATCCACATAAAGTAAAACTATGGTGGTCCCTTGAGTAGTTTTCCTCTAAAAAAGAACAGTATCATAAGAACTGGAGATGAAACCACAATCATGAATAATAGATCTGAACTTGGCAAACCAAGCTCGCGGGGCTTGCTTAAGACCATATAATATACATTGAAGTTTGCATATCGTATGAGGCAGATAAGTAGACCTAGGGGGAGGTTGCATGTAGACCTCCTCTAGAAGATCACCATTAAGGAATGCATTTTTTGAGCCCATTTGATAAAGGTACCATTGACGAGTGGCAACAATAACAATCAAGTTGCGAATAGAGATGAGACGGGCAACATGAGCAAAGGTCTCCTTATAATCAATACCATATTCCTAGTTGAAGCCTTTAGTAACAAGGCGGGCTTTGTACCTCTCAATAGAGCCATCAAAGTGTGTCTTGATTTTGTACACCCATTTGCAGCCAATGACAGTCTTGCCAGGAGAAAGATCAACAACGTTCCAAGTATGAGTTTTGTCTAAACCTTGCAATTCAGCAGTCATGGTATGCTGCTAAAGAGGATTAGAACAAACCTCACGATAGGAATTAGGTTCATGAGTAGAAAAAGCAGTGGAACCAACAATATAATCACGAAGACAAGTAGAAGGTTGTGTTACCCAACGTGGTCGAACGGATGGTGGAGGAGCTAGAGGGCATGAGAGAAACTCAATAG